AGCAGCTCCCATAAGCCAGCAACATACCCAACGACGGATGGTACGGAGACGGTGGCGGCGGCGGCGCAAGGATTGCTCCGTAGGACGTCGTTGCGCGCGCCGTCGCGCGGCGAAGGTACGACGCCCAACCTGGGTAGTAGCGTCGGCGGCAAAAACGTGCGAGCCAATAGCGCGCTGCGGCGGCTGCTGGGTATCCCTGGTCCTGCCGCCGCCGCCGCCCCTGCCGCCGCCTCCAGCGAACGGCAGCCCAGCGACGTTGAGGCCGACGGCGGCGGCGGCACCGGGACCGTCACCTGGGTTGGCGGCAGCGACAGCGACAGCACGCCGCATACCTTCATTGCGAGTCCCGCCGCGGACTCGAGCAGCCTGACGGGAGGTAGTGGCGGCGGTGGCGGCGGCGGCGGCGTTAGCAGCGGCGGCGGCGGCGGCGGCGGCGGGGCTGGAAGATTGCTAGGAGCTACTCGGAGCATATCTTTCCGTTTGGAGGCGGCACGGAGTCCCCGGGGTAAGCGGGGTTAGAGGGAGGCGTGTGTGTATGATCGGTCGGTTGGTTAGTTGGTTGGTTGGTTGGGGGTAGGGTGAAGCGGGTGAGGAAGGGAGGGGGGTTTGACGCGGGGTGAGTCAGGAGGAGGAGTCCCCGAGGGTGGGAGTTAGGGGGTTTTTGGGGCGTGGTGGAGTGCCTGGACCTGGGCTCTATACCCCTCCTTCCCCCTTCTTTTTTACGTGATTTCTCCCCCCCACCCCGGGGATGAGGCCCATGTTGTTGAGGGAGTGCGCCACTTCAAGCCCCTCCCGCCCCTCCCGCCCCCCTCCAATTTTTCCACCTACCTCCTCTCCCCCTCACACTACCCCCGGGCCTCACTCCCCTCACCCCGCCTCAGGCGATGCCGTGAACATGTAGGCAGTTTTGACGTTGTGGGGTTTTCGCCGCATAGCACGTGATTTCCCCTCTCTCCCCCCTCCACGCACACCCGCACACAAACACACACCTTTCTCCTCCACCTGGCCCCGCCCCCCCGGCCCCCCTTCATTCCCCCCCCCCAGGAGCGTCCCGTCTGGCGCCCATCATCACCATCATGCATGAGCGACTGAAGGCGGCGCAGGTGGGGGGGGAGTGCGGGTGCGGGGTGTGTGTGAGTGTTTTGTGTTTTTGTGTGTGTTTTTGTTTTTGTGTGTTTTTATTTTTGTGTGTTTCTTTTGTGTGTTTCTTTTGTGTGTTTCTTTTGTGTGTTTCTTTTGTGTGTGTTGCGGGGCGAGTTGTGGAGGGGATGAGGGAAACGGGCGGCGGGGGGGGGGCGTAAGTGCGGGGACCCCAGCACGTGGACCCTCCCCCAGCAAGGACGCGGACCCCCCCCCCCCGATATTGCCGACCCGCCCCGGGCGGTGTCGTGAACCGCGAGGAGCTCAACGTCGCGCAATGAAGGGTGGCGTGAAGGGTGGTGCTTGCGGGAAGAAGGTGGTGGTTGGGAAGGTCATATGCAAGGAATCCAGGAATGAGCTAATCGAACGGAATCTTGCCGTACGTACTGGCTGTTTGCTCCTCTTCCCTCCTTCACTCTCTCTTGTGCTTCTGCTCCTGCCCCCCACCCCACCCCCAACCCCCCACCCCACCCCCACACCCCCACACCCCCCACCCACCTCCACCCCCTTACGCAGGCCGCACAAATGACGAGGGGTCGTACGGAAGCTCGAAAAGCGGATTTGCAGAGCGTCAAATTGCTACAAGAGATCGGGAAGGGAGGTGCGTGAGGGGGGTTGGGTTTGTGACGGCGGCTGGGCAGGCGGGATATCGTGGCGAGGGCGGTCGGGGGGTGGGGTGGGGAACTACGGGGAGTAGGAACTTGGAGGGGAGGGGGCCGTGTGTGTGCATGTATGTATGTATGTGTATGTGCATGTATGTATGTGTATGGGATGGCCAAGGCGTTTGGTGACTTTTGAGGAGGGTAGGTTGGGGGGATCGGAAGGGGGAGGGAGGGGGGATGGGTTCGTGCAGGAGGGAAGGTGGATGGGGGGGCTTGGTGGCTTAGGGTTCAGTTCGTTGTGCGCTGTGATGACTGAACTCAATGGCGGTCTGCATAGGCACAAACACGACATAAAACACCCGGTCGGTGAGCTAAGACACACATACATACATACATACATACATACATACATACATACATACATACATACATACATACATACATACATACATACATACATACATACATACATACATACATACATACATACATACATACATACATACATACATACATACATACATACATACATACATACATACATACATACATACATACATACATACATACATACATACATACACACGCCCGTCACGCCCTTCCACCGTCCGGGGGAAAGAGCTTAGGCGCAGGGTTCTTCACCAGGGTACCCAAAATTTTCGGTGGTGTCCGAAACCCTCTGAATAACCTTTCGGGGCCCTCCCCGATAATTTTCCTGTCAGCCGGAGAGTGTTTTCGGGTACCCCGAAACTGTCTGAAGCGGTTTTCGGGGTACATTTTAGCTGGATTCTTCGTTATATGTTAGGACGGCTGAATTAACAGGTGTTTGACTTTATTCTGGAACATTGAAATATTTCAGCAAGGATTTTACCCAAAACCAAGGAGGCGCCGCTCCTCATCCATCTCTGCAGCAATCGCCTCCACCATACCTGCCACATCATCATCTGTCTCCTCAGACGGGTACACCTCATCACTTGCCACACTCTCGACCTCCTCCTCGTTATCAGAAGGATAATAGGCCTCAGCAATTTCATTACCCACACTGCCCTCATCATCACTCTCATCAGGCATAACACAGTTGCCCACCTTGGCAATACGGTGCAGGAGCCCATCCGGGTTCTTTGCAACATACAGAAGCAAAAGCTAAGAATAAGAAGCTGCGAATCCCGAGGGAGATGCGGGGCACCTTGGTTGGGAGCTCATCATAAGCTGACTCGGGCATGTTTAGCTATGCATATGCTTAGATGTATGAAAATGTCTGCGATACAGCCGCGAAACAGCCGCAATATGCACATTTGTACTTGTTGTTTGACTGGTGACCAAGCGGGCCTTATACGGCAAGCCCGGTTCCAGGCCCGGTCTGCGCCCGAAAACATGCTAATTTACGCTGAAATATCGTTCGGTTTTCTCCGGAAATGCCTTCAAAAAAATGCTTCGGTGGGGCCCCCGAAAAAGGGCTTCAAAAGGCCCCAAATCCGTTCGGGATGCTCCGGGGCGCACCAATTTTCCTTTCGGACAAAGCGGAAAAATTTCAAAAAAGTTCGGGCCCGAATCGGGGTGAAGAACCCTGCTTAGGCGGTCTTTCCAGTGGCCCCTGGCCAGTGTCAGGGCCGGTCGGACGCTTGGAACCCTCACCTACACCCTCTCTCACACACCCATACACACCCATACACACCCATACACACCCATACACACACACGCAGTGCTCTTGGGTGACTTTTCCCCCTCCACTCCCCCGCTGCTGTTGCCGCCATTACGCAGGGTACGGCACCGTGTACCGGTACGTACGGTCCTTGTTGTATGTGTGTATGTGTGTATGTGTGTATTGGGTATTGGGGGGTATATTGTACGAGGGGGGCTGCGGGGGGGCCCCCGGGGGTTTGGATGGCGGTGGAGATTTTGTTCAGGCGCTGTACGGCCTCGCGGTTCTGGGGGAATACGTATCCTCGAGATGCCTGTACTGCCCGTACGTTCCGCAACCACAATTACAAAATAATGGCACGTAGATGGGATCTGTGCAGCCAAAGCTCCAAGCACTCCAAGAATCCTAGGGGGAGTAAAGGTGCCTATAAGCATAAAAATCGCAGCTTAAGACGCCGACCGGAATAGGACATCAAGTAAATCAGAGACTATCTTTTGAGTTACTACTACACACATACATACATACATACATACATACATCTATACACACACGTACACACATCAATGCACTCCATATTAGATCCTCAAACGAGACATACAAACAAACGCTTCCATCCAAGTATTTATACACACTAACGTATTTTGACGTACACTCCCGTACATTGCCGTACATCATTCGCGGCCGCAGGGGCACGTATCACGGCTCCGAGGTGGCGATTAAAGTCATTCAGGAGAAGGAGCTCGCAGCCCTGAACAACCACAACAACAACAACAACAATAACCACCACAACCACCACAACCACCACAACTCTGCCGACCTGGGGCATCCTCTTCCCCCCTCCGCCTCCGTCGTACTGCACAAACAGAACCTCCACGACGCGATAGAGCTGGTGGCTAGCGTCAGTGTCAGCCATCCGAATATTGTGCAGGTGTGCGGGGGGGGGGAGGGAGAAGGGCGGGGGGAGGAGGGAGGGAAAGGGGAGAAAAGACGAACCACGAGCGAGGGTGGGTTGGGGGGGGGAGAAGGGGAAGAGAGATGTAATCGTACATACACGGCCGTACTTGTACTGTCTCCTTTGGTAACATCTGCTGTGGTTAGATCACTCCTCTCCCCCACCATCCCGAGGTCGCGGTCTTCACGGACGCCTTTCGGTCAGTTTTACGTTTGGTACACTCTTGCCCTGGCAGCAGCTTCAATCGTGTGTGGTTCGTCTCCCCCCCCCCCTCCCCGCGATCCCCCCCCATCCCGTCTATCCGCAGGTCCTCGCCTTTTTTACGGATTGCAAGTTGCAGTTGGGCGGGGTTGGACCGGAGCGCTCTGAGACTGCCAGTGCTCTGTTCGACTCCGCCGACCTGGGGGAGGTGGCGGCGGGGGGCGGTGTCCAGGGGGACAATATCAGCCAGCGTGGGGCGGGGGCGCGGCTGGTGCACATGCCCTCGCTGCTGGAGTCGCCGGCGCCGGGACAGGAACTCGGTATGTATGTATGTGTGTGTGTGTGTGTTTTAACTCCACATACATACATGCATACGCACACGTTTAAGATATGCAATCTCTGCAACCCCTAACATCCATTCCCGTCCCACCCCACCCCTTTTCCCCAAACACACACGCTCTCAATGAACACCCCCTCCACCATAACCCCACCTCGGCCCTCTGCTGTTGTCCTTGCCGTACCTCAATGTACGACAGGCGGTATCTCCGTCGCTCTCGTGATGGAGTACATGGATGCCGGCAGCTTGTCAGATGCCATTCAAAAGAGGGTCTTTTTCGAACGACTGGAAGTGCATCGTGAGTTGTGCGCATTCATATAAAAAATGTTTTGTCTTGGCAGTGGCGGTTATTTGGTTGAATTAAATTAAATTTTTTTATTTAAATTTAAAAAAATTAAATTTAAATAATAAACATTAATTATTAATTGGAAAAAATACGGACTTTTTATGAAGGGAGGGAAAGCTTGGGGAAATTTGAGATTCAGAAAGGAATTCAGTCTCTTCCCCCTTTCTCTCCCTCTCCCTCTCCCTCTTCTTAAACATACCATCCGCACAAATTTAGGACTATCTACTAGTTGTTGTGTTAACCCCCTCTCCTCCCCTCTTCCCCCCCCGGCCTCGTCTTGGTACACTCTTGCCCTGGCAGCAGCTTCACTCGTTCACGTGGTTCGTCTTTCCCCCTCCTCCCCCTCCTCCCCCTCCTCCCCCTCCTCCCCTCTTCCCCCCCCGGCCTCAACGCCAGCAAGGGCCCCGCCCGCCTGCGAGAGGGCCTTTTGAACGATGGGGCGATTGGCCGACTCTTTACATTTTGCGACATCATCAACCGTCCACGTCATCGTGTCGTAAAACCCTAACCTCCGCTTCCCCGTGGTTCGTTTCCCCCTTTGCCGCCCTGCCCCTAACAGACCCGGGTGGTGGTGGTCGACCAGCTAAGGGGTTATTGGCCGTGAGCATGAGGGTGAGTGAGAGGGAGTGGGAGGGAGAGAGGGAGGGCGGGTGGATGTAGGAATATTTTCTGTTGGGTGGTTGGTAGTGGGGTTGTGACGGTTGGGGGTTGAGGACGGTGAGCAGTTGACAGGGAGGGGCCAGAGAAAGTGTGTGTGGGGGTGTATGTGTGTGTGGGGTGGTGGTGGTTTATCGCGGCCCATCAACTGCCTGAAACACTCGGGCCCCATCCCCCTCCTCCCACCAAACAACCTTTGTACCGTAATCCCTCCCCCCTTCACTCCCCCCCTTCAACCCCCCCCCTTCAACCCCCCCCTTTCAACCCCCCCCCTTCAACCCCCCCCCTTTAATCCCCCCCCTTCAATCCCGCCCCCATTCAATCCCCCCCCATTCACCCCCCCCCCCGCCCGGCCAGTCGGTGTATGCCACGCTGTTGGAGATAGCTCTTGCCCTCCGCCACATGCACTCGCTGCACCTGGTCCACTGCGACCTGAAACCCCAAAACGTGCTGCTCAAGACGGCCCCCCGCGACCCGCGGGGGTTCACCGCCAAGCTGTCGGACTTCGGTCTGTCCAAGACAATGGCGCACGACGACGACGGGCAGCTCGTCATTGATGAGGCTGTGGCGAGCGGGTGAGCTGGAGTGTGTGTGTGTGTGTATGTATGTATGCGTGCGTGTACGGCGCGTGCGTGTGTGTCGTGTGCGTGTCAGTGTCAGTGTCATTGTCAGTGTATGTGTACGTGGTGGGTTTTGGGGGGTGAAGGAAGGGTACGGATAAATGAAAAGTTGCGTGTTGGTCAGTTGTAAGTGGTGATGTGCGTTTAGTGTGTTTAAAATCGTGTTTAGTGCGTGTATAGTGTATAGTTGCGAGTTTGTGGATGCCCCACTTCCACTTCCCAGACGGAAAGCTTCACCCTCCGTTCCTCCTCCTGGCACCGGCAACCCCTCGACACGCCATTCACCCATCCACGTTTGGACCGACCCCACCCACAACGGCCGCATTGGGGTTTTATACGAGCACGTACATGTACGAGTTATCACAATACACACACACGCGTGCTTGTGTATGCAGGACCATCACCCACATCCCCCCGGAAGTCTTCATGGGTGAGGCGGGGGTGGGGTGGGGTGGGGTGGGGTGGGGGGTGAGGGGTGGGGTACCTGGCTCTAGGCCAGGTTGGTTCCGGAGCTCCCCCCCCGGGTGGTGGGGGGGAGAAAGGGGTTATTTCATGTGTATGGACAGCTTGGGCAGTTGGTGCTTTAGGGCGCTGACCATTAAATGTTTTGGGCATCGTCGTCATCACAACCACCATCACAACCACCGCAACCACCACAACCACCGCAACCACCACCACCGCAACCACCACAACCACCGCAACCACCCTCTTATGTCATATGCGCAACCTCACATCACCGCTCCGGGTGGGAGCTAAACACGGCAGACCGAAATGAAAATAAACAAATCCTCCCGACCCGTGGGTTGCATCCTCCGGCGTGCTGCCGCACACACGTGGCTGTGTCGTACCGCCGTACACACGTGGCGATCTCGGTGGGATTGTGCTTGCGACTGGTCAGGGAAGAAGAGTCTGGGAGCGGCAGTGGACATCTACGGTGAGTGCCACCGCGTTGCCGTACTGTCTGTCTGTCTGTCTGTCTGTCTGTCCGCTGTCTGCTTGCCTAGCTGTCTGCGTGTTTGTCGCCCTGTCTGTCTGCTTGTACGCTGTACGCTTGCCTGTCTGTTTGTCTGTCTGTTCTGCCTCGTTGCCGTGCTTTCGTTTTAAGCGCCGGCACGTGCTTTGCGCCCTCTGTGCGTGTGTATGTGTGTGTGTTTAGATCGACAATCCTGACTACCGACCGTACTCCCCACCCAATCTTTATCTGCCCCCCTACCCATTGCCGTCCCCAACTAACCAGCCCTGTCGTGCAAGTATTGTAAATTTTGATTAAAAATATAAAACAGGATTGAATTATTTAAATATAATTGAAATATTATAAGTATTTATAAATATAATTGAAATATTTTGGCCGTGAACTCCTTTCCTCCCTTTTCCCCGCCCACCCTCCGTACCGTGCCTCGTAATCAACCTTGGGGCGGCCGCCGTACAATCGTACGAAATGAACATGTGTTCGTACACACAGCCTTTGGTATCATGATGTACCAGGTGCGTCATAGCGCAGCTGTACGGCAATGTACGGCGGAAGTGGTGGCGTTCAGGTTTGCCGCACTAAACGTTTTCTTTGTTTTGTTCTGGATCGTTGAGGTGTTTGAACAACGTCTGCAACACAACACGGGAGGAGTACATCGATATTTTGAAATGCATGCTCTTCAGTGACTTGAGTCTTTCCCTGCTACTGCTGCTGCAGCTGCTGCTACTGCCACTTCTGTGTCGGTCGTACGCGTCCTGTGTTTTGCCCCCTGTACCGTACGGTATCCCTCCTCTTTCCAGCTACATCACCACCAACTCCGCTCTCCCCCTGCGGCCATTCATCTCCCCCCCCCAAACCCCCCCGTACACCCCCCACCCCACATGACAAGTCCGTTTTCCCAGGCCGCTCCCGGCTTAGGTCCCAAATCCCTTTTTCCCTCATCCAAAAACGCCGTACTTACTACGTTGTCGTACATACGCACATACAGACATACATACATACACACATTCACATGCACACATTCACACATACATACATACATACATACATACATACATACATACATACATACATACATACATACATACATACATACATACATACATACATACATACACACGCAGGTGCTATGCGGCATGCGGTTGTACGAGGGCATGTCAGCTCAAGAGATCGCCAACGCGGTGGCGCACCGCATGTTGCGCCCCACCTTGCCGCAATGGGTTCCCGCCAACTACCGGGCGTTGGTGGAGCGCTGCTGGCACCAACTGCCATCCGTACGGCCTACGGCGGACGAGCTTGTACGGCAGCTGGAGCGGCTGTCGGACTTTAAGCGGCGCAACGTGCGGCCGCAGTCGAACTATCAGCAGTATTAGCAAAACAGTTGGTATGTACGGCATGTGTGAATGTACGGCACCAGTACGTCGACGACGGCGTTGCGGCGGCGGCGGTGGTGGAGGTGATGGCTTCGGCGGCGGCTGTGGGGTTGTCGGGGGGTCGTGGGAGCTTGGGTAATGAGAGTGAATGCGGGTGGAGGGGGTTCGAAGGGGGGGTTGCGGCTCAGCTCCCCCCTAAAGCTCATTCAACACCTTCCCTTCCCTCCTCCCGAACAAACATACATTCGCACACACATACATACACACATACATAGATACATACATACATACATACATACATACACACCTGCGGGCCGTCGAGGGCACTCCTCATTGCTCCGTTCAAGTACAATCAAGTACAGTTTTCCGTACGTGATGCGATCCGCAAACCGCCCATGTACAGTTTTATTAGTTTCAGTTTCAACTGTTAGTGTACGGAAATGTGCCCCGCCCTTTCATCTATCACCGTTCCCGCTAACAGCATCATCACCGCCCGGTTTGTACAGCACATCCTGGAAGCTGATAAATGAAGTGGTGGTTGGTTCTGTTGGGTAGTTGGTTGGTTAATCCTCCTAGAGGGAGCCCCATTACGTAATGCCGTATTTCCCAGCACTCTCGCAGTGAGGGCCCCACAAGGCCTTTTCCTCGGGGGGGAGATCGTCTCCTGATGCACAACATGTATGTATGTATATATGCATGTACGTATCGCACAATTGCGTAATTGATGGCCAAGTTCGACACTGTTTGGCACGCCTATCGCCATTCGTTGCGGAGTATGGATCATTTGGCGACAGCGGTTGGCGGTTGGGGAGATGGACGAGATTGACGAGGCTGGCGATGGCGGGTTCGTTGGGTAAAGAGATGATGAGGATGATGGTGGTGATGATGGTGATGATGGGTTGAATTTTGGCACGATTGCATGTTTGGCCATATTCGTACATCCGTACATCCGTACTGTGTTGTGAGGTAGGTACGCGGCCACGCCCACGCGCCTCTCATTTTGTCGCCAGGCAGATATCGCAGGATGCTGAGGTGTACAATGAAGTTATGGATGGACGTGCAAATACGTGTACAAACAATCATATGACCGGGTATAGTTTACTCCGGTGAGTGATCGGAGCGTGCATGCATAAGTAGGGGTGTTGGGCATGATCGGGGTTTGTGAGAGAGAGTTTGAAGGGGCCAGAAAGCTTTTCCGAGTTCGGAGCTGGGGCAGGAGAAATTAAGATTACTCAAAGCTATAAATTGTGCGATATCAAAGTTTAAGTAAAGTAAGTTATATGATAATTACAAATATATTTTGTATTATTGATGTTTCGGCGCATTTTCGGTTGCTCATGTCTCATGGAGGAGTTCGTTTAACTTTTTGAGAGGTGTCGTACAGGGCCGTACTACCGGTATTTGTACTTAAGGCGACGAGCGTGAAGCTGAGATGAAAGGATGATCTCCGAGAGGTGAGCGTTACGAAGATGCAGGCATATGCTTATCATACTGATCATTGGATGCGGCGTGACTGCGTGTTGGCTTGAGGTTGGAGGGATCACCCAGGGGCGCTAGAGATGTGGGCGGTTGGGCCATTGCGGCGGTACGGCACAAAGTTATGAAATAGCAAAAACTAATCCTGACCTTGTCATTAGTGCACGGTACGGAGTTGGAGAGGGCTTTAATGTAAAGCACCATGATGTGGATTAAGTTGTCGCCACCGCAAATGGTGGGTTGGTGATTGGTACGGCAAATTAGCCCGTACGGACAGGACGATGGCTTTCGATACCTCGCTGTCTGAAATGCAAATTTAATCCCCCCCTGATCTATTTGTTTGTCAGTCCAACACGCGCTTGATTATGTTGGAGATGCGTTTGAAAACGGCATTAAAAGCCATCATTTCTGTCTGTCTGTCTGTCTGTCTGCCTGTCAATGTCCGCCAATGTTCAGCAATTTATATTTTAAGTACAGCAGTGGTTCATAAAAATATTTGAAAACACCGCGCTCATGACGTCATCACCTGCTACTTCCCAATTTGATATAATTATATGGAGGGGTGGTGGAGTGAGTCTGTGTGAGTGCGTGTGTGCGTGTGTAGGGTTTGGAGATTCTCCGCGCGACTGATTTGACACGGAACTGATTGCCGAAGAAGTACCACCGTGAGCTGCTGAGACGTACAGACATTCGAAATTTGTTGGGTTCTAGGGTTTTTAGGGTTTTAGGCATTTTGTGGCGCGCCCCCCCCCCGGGTCGCATTTTACTGAAATCCTTGAGATCTGTCGAAGGATCGCCCCCCCTGGGCGGAGTAGTGTCACGGACGTGCACGAGGCGGGCGGGGATGTGTGTGCGGGAGAAAATTACGGGAGAAAATCACACTCATTTCCTTCTGTCGCGCTACCGTGCTGCCGTACTGCCGAACTTATTGGGGGGGAGTTTCTGCTTAGGGATCATCATCATCATCAGCAGCAGCAGCAGCAGCAGCTTCAGGAGAGCGCATTCTCACCTCTTGAGGTGGGGAGAGGGAAGAGGGGTGTACGTTACACTACATACATACATACTTACTTTGAAGTCCCAGCTGTCGATGGAACCATTGTATGGAACGGGGGACGGCGGACGGGGGTACCCTGAAGGCCGAAAGTGTGAGGGAGGAGAGTGTGTGTGGGGGGGGGCGGGTGGGGTGGGGGGGGGGAAAGGGGTTGTGGCTCCAAGTGGGGGCGGCTGTCCCCCTGCCCGCCGTGTGTGGCGCACTCCGGTCCCTCTCTTAGCCAACCTCCATATCTTTTTACTTAGCTCGGCCGTGATGGTGGTGACGGTGATGATGACGGTGGTGGTAGTGATGGTGGCAATGGCGATGATGATGATGATGATGATGATGACATGCACAAGAAGAAAGACGCGAAGCCGCTGTGTCGCAGCGCTGAGAGAGAAGGGAGGAGTGCCAAAGCTAGAGCCGCCAGACCCGCCCGCACTCGCTTGTACACTTCCTTTAGTGAATGCACGAGCGCGATCATCGAGCGGTTGTTCTGTTAGGACGAGAGTACGATGAGGAGGGTAATGGGACCGTTGACCCCCCTGGCGTATGTGTGTGTGCGTATGTGTGTACGGAACCCCAGTCGCGGCCCTATTACCCCAAGGGGAATTTCCCAGACCCCCAAACTGCCGCTGTCTCTGTTACTGTTATGGCTTTGTTAGCCCCTTTTATAGTAAGCCCCTTTTCGCAGCCACCTACCTCCCTGCTTTGGGACGGCCGCGCAGCCTTTTACCGTTCCCGTGTAAATGTTTTTTATGAGATTTCTTATAAGATTTTGCAAGTACGGCAATACGGCAAATGTGATCCTGGCGTTTTGGATTCTGAAGACTGTTTTTCACGGTGATAAGGCTGAAGGAGGCGTTGGGGATTCCTCAGTTGATGAGTTGCCACCAGGTGCCCTGCTGCGCACCACTCTCCCGTCCTGCGGCCTTTTGTCGTAACTCATGTGCACCGTCACCTTCTTCACTGCCGTCGCCGCCGCCGTCCCCGCCGCCGCCACCGCTCGCCGCCATAGCCATAGCCACGATGTGTAGTGGCTCGAGTATATATATATGAAATATTTTAGTAAAAATGCACGTGTAGCTGTGCTTCATTGTGCCGTACGTACAGGGGCTCTGTCAACATACGGCGCCGTACGACATATCGTACCTTGGCAAGGTTATCCGTATTTGTCGAGACGCATCTGGAAACTGTACGGATTATACTGACGGACAGAGATATGGATATGAGCTGTTGGGGGCGTTGGCCCAAACGCGAAATGTGGACCACATTTGAATTTTTAAAAAAGCCATCAATGCTTTTCTTCGGGCCATGGATCCGGTACGACAGTAGTACGTCGATTGGTATCATGTATGTACATACGCACGCTATCGACTTCCGTTTCTGTTATTGGTTGGTTGTTGGTTGGTTGGTAGTGTTTAAAAAGCCCTCTGCGACCCGCAGTTAACCTCTTTTACCGCCTAGGAAAGCTCCTTGGCGCGGAGCGCTACCTCTTTCCCTTTCTCTCTCCCTCCGGGGGTTTGGGGTTTGGGGGTTTGGGGCTTTGGGTTTTAGGGGTTTGGGGGTTTGAAACTGTAAGCAGCGTATTATTACAGCACACAGTTCCCCCCAGGGTTGTGCCCTGAGCGTCCCCGCCACTCTTAGCGCTACCAGTATCACTAACTTTCGGAGTTTTGTTGAACTCGGGAGAGAATTTGTTTTCTCTGGCAGTAGATGTTTTTGTAGGGGTTTTATGTGTGGGGCAGGGACAAGAGGAATTCCTTTGCGGATTTTGAGAAGTTGTGATACCCAGATTGCTTTGTAGGGGTAAAGATGGACTCAGGCACGTTCCCTCCTCGTAATGAACGGTTATGTAGAACATATCAGATCATCAAGAATCTACGAAGTACAGTGAGAGAGAAACTGTTTGAGAAATAATAGAATAATAATAGAAATTTGGAAGATGTTTAGATGCCGCCAAACAGATAACAGATTCCGACCCGTTCAGCCTTCCGTGGTGCATTTCATGCCTAATCGTCTCGGCCTTAGCACTCCATTTTGCCCCCGGGGGCATTAGCACTCCTCAGCTCGTTAGACGGCACGGCACCCCAGAGGCAGCGAGCTCCTGTAAACACTGTGACACACTGTGACTCGTCCCGGTCGTCATGCTGAGGTCGTCATCGCCCTGGCCTTGGCCCCAAACACCTTAGCGTCGGCAGCAAGCTGCAGGGCATGAGGCTGGTTCACCCTCTTGGGCTTGGGTTGTGGCCTGGGGTCGACCTGTTCATCTGACGACGACGACGAGTGGCGCAACATCTCGAAGAGGTGGTTGGCTGCCGGTTGCATCCGCACCGTCGTAAACGTGAAGGGGGTGTGTAAAAAATTGCGGCTCCCTCCTTCAACACTCTAAAACACTAAAACACTCTCGCCCTCCGGTCCGGTCCGGTCTCTTTAGCACCGGGTGGAACGGCACAGTGATGATGATCCTTCTACCGGTATGTATGTATGT